TTTTATGGTACTAAACTGGCAACTTGTTCTAGCGATCATCTTGTCAAAATATTTGAGGTAGGAATGCAGTATGTGGTCTTTGGACTTTTAATTCACTATTTTTTATGTAATTATGTTTTCCTACCTTTTTTTGGTTTCTAGAAGTGAAAGGCAAGAAACTTTTGTTTATATATTGAGTTGTTTCTTAGATTTTAATGAACATTTTCGCTTTTTTTTACTAACGGACAAATGATTTTGAAAAAAGCATGTCATATGAACCCCATGTCTAGGTTAAACCAACTGGCCAGTCGTATTTGCTAACAGAACTCAGTGGACATGACGGTCCAGTATGGCAAGTGGCATGGGGTCATCCAAAATTTGATAATATCCTTGCGTCCTGCTCTTATGACAAGTGCGACTTTTTCACTTCCTGTTTTATCGAATCTAATTAATTTATTTACTCATTTGTTTTTTATTATTTACTGACTAGAGGAAAAGATTCTGCTTTTTTACTCGTTTTGACTGTATCTTAATGTTTGTTTCAGTAATAATGCCGACCATTTTTTGAGTTGTTTTTTTCTGAAATTGTCTGTTAGGACGTTTTTTTAACTGATTTTGCCTGGAGTTTGTTTTTCTAATTCTTTTTAGGAAAGTTATCATTTGGAAAGAAATCTCGGGAAAATGGCAAAAAATTTATGAATCTGCTCAACACGAATCAAGTGTTAATTCTATAAGTTGGTCCCCTCATCAGTACGGTTTGATCTTGGCATGCGCTTCGACTGACACTTCAATTTCTATTTTAACGTTCAATCCCAAAGAAGGCACTTGGAATGTGCGAAAGATTTTAAAAGCACACGATCAAGTAAATTTTGGTGGATCCAAATTAACCAAGTTGTAATTGTTAATTGTAGCCGCGTTCAAAGGCTCTGGGTTGAATTTGGAGCGCTATTCCTAGCTAGGTTTATTCATTTTAGGGATGTAATGCAGTTTCTTGGTGCCCGTATGTGCAAGATTCCTCGTCTATTGGTCAAGATGAAGCAAGTTTCGGCAGTAAGAGAATTGTTTCTGGCGGTGACGATAGTTTAGCCAAAATATGGAAGTATGTTTTGCGACAGCGGTTGACTGTTGTTTAAAATACAAGTTGTATACAGTGTTAAGAGTACGACAAACTTCGCGTTTACTTATTTCTCTGCCATATTAGGGACAGAGGTGACGGAACGTGGGAACTAGATCATACTTTGGACGGGCATTCTGACTGGGTTCGTGATGTTGCTTGGTCGCCAGTAATCATGCAGAATCTTCATACTATTGCAACATGTGGTCAGGTGAAAATCGATTACTAAGCTGCTGTCAAACCGTGCTCAAGCGTTCACACAAGTGTATACTTTTGTAACCGCTGTATCTTTTAGGATAAAAAGGTTTTCATTTGGCGTTGCTCTGATCTTGAGCAAAAGAAGTGGGTCGGCTTGACCATAGAAGAATTTGATGATGCACTCTGGCACATTAGTTGGTCTCTGTGTGGAAGAATATTGGCTGTTTCCGGTGGTGATAATAAGGTGCTTTATAACCATTGTAATTTAAAGGAAGATTACTGCTGTGTAAGTTTGCTTACTGGGTGACGCCTAGTTTGTAAATTTCAATTTTTTATGATTTTTAGATCAGCTTATGGAGGGAAAATATGCAGAATCAGTGGATAAGGATATCAGATGCTGAAGATGAGAAAAAAGCTGATTAATATGGGTTAGAACCTGTAACGAAGTTCTCCGTATGTTGTTTCTCCCAGGAATGTATTGTATCCAATGTATTCCTTTCTTTTTCTCACTTTTTTTTACTTTTGAGGGTTGGTTTCATTTTTTTAGTGTGCCAAGTTCCAGTGTTTTTTAAAGCTCATTTTGCTGGTCTACCTTGTAAAATGTTTTGTGTGGCTACTTGACTAAGTACGAAGGGTTTAGGGACTTGTAAATCTAGTTGAGGTTTTTATATCATGGCTGTCTGCTATTTGAAGTGATTACTAGTGGCAGTATCTTTTATTACTTCTTAGCGCAACTTAATTTTTTAACCCTGCCGTTTAACTTTCATGATTTTGCGTTGGTTTCTATAGTTAGCTTACAAATTTTCACTTTTGAGAGGTGCTGATATTAGTCTGAGTGAAAAGTGGCCATAATTTTTTAGATTCCTTATTTGTCTTGTGGTGGTTGTTTGTAGTATAAAATTCCGGGTAAATTTATAAATGCTTGGAGTTCTGAGATTGTTCTGTTTTGATATAGCTCTTTTAAGCTCTTCCGGATTTGTGTTACTTCCTCTTAGAAGTTTATCAGGTGGAATTCACTTTATTTTAGTTGATTTTCATTTGTTTTCCACCAATTTGCTGAGTCTGTTTTGGATTCCTGATGAGGGGTTTGTCCAGTTCACAAATTATACATATGGAATGGATTTTTTGGGGATATTGAGTCGAAGCGTAATTGTGAAGAAGTGACGAGTACGTGTCAAGCTGTTTAGATATTATTATTTATGTTTTTAAAATGGTAACAGAATAAAACAAAGTGCTATTAGTTGTACTATATGTTTTTCTCTTGCGAGTCAAGTCGTATTCCATTTCTGCTTTAGTTACCAAATTCCTAGTTCTTCTTTAATATCATAAGCAAAAGTTAAAGTTGATGGTGGTTTAGAAAGAGGGATAAAGTTTTTTTATACTGTAGTGAGAATTTACCTGTTGGGGGTCTGCAATCTTCCCCTGACTTTGCATGTGATCGATTTTGGCTTCTTTTGATGACCTGGTGAATATAAAATTTGACGTGGTTAAGAGGCAGATGAAAGACCTGGAGGAAGGGCGTGAAAGACAGCGTGTAAGTCTGCATCGTTGTAAGAGTTTTGATTTCAGACATTGGGGAGTGTATGCTGCAAGTTAGAATGGGTTTATTTAGAAATTAGAAGTTTTTTCGGTGTCTGGTTATACTCGAATTGAGAATTTTATGAGTTCAGACGGGTTTGGGGTATCTGTAAAAATAGGCTTTTAGTAAAATTTTGTTGGGATAAGTGTTTGCTTTTAGGGTGTGGTTTATTCTTGACTAATCAACGAGGAAAGAATTTTGGCGTTCAGTTTTTAGCTAATCAGGAAAAGCAAAAAGGTTTTAGTTTCAAATAAATTTTTTTAAATTGTACTCAGTTTTCTTAGTTTTTTTTTTTTTTTGCTGTAATTGTTGTTGTTCCTGATGGTAGTGGTGGTTAATAAGTGTTGAAGTTATTGAGATGTTGGTGCTACTGTTGTTGACTGGTATTGAGAGGTCAATGACGTGTATTCGCTGGATGTTGAAAAAACATTTTTTGATGACGGTACCAAAATTGTACTACAGCTTTGGTTTCTCTGAGTGAGCAGAATTTCGTTGCTGAATTGTGCTAACAGTATCAATCGCTTTTACATTAAAATTCTTTTGAAAGGTTAAATATAGCAGCTGGTTAGTGTCTTAAATTTGAAATTAATTAGTATAGATTAAAAGAAGAAATATTTGGGGGAAAAAAAAGGAAAATTGAGAAAGAAGAAATGGTATTAAAAGGTTAAATTTTCATTGTATGAAATAAGAAAAGTCAAAAAAAAAAAAATCTTGAATTTTTTTTTTGTTTGTTTTGTTTTGTTCATTGTCAATTTGTATCTGTTTAGAAGACCATCAATCTGCCACTGACTGCATTTGTAATTATATCGATGTATTCATCAGTCTTTTTAGCAAATTTCTATTCTGCTGTAAAAAAGAAGCAATATTTTGACTTTGTCGTAAAAAAAAAGAAAGGAAGCAAAACTTGTGATGCTTTACTGCTATAAAAGAAAATAAAAAGTTGTTTGGATTAAATAGCTGAAGTGGAAGCGAAAAATTATCTTACTGCAATATGACAGTATTAGTGCGTTGGATTTTCCACCCATGTTAAATTTGAAAATAAAAGCAAAATACGTTGTTATTGATTTTTGATTTTATTTTATTTTATTTTATTTATTTATTTATTTTTTTTATTTGCTGGTTAAATTTTGTACGGATTTTTTAACGAAAAGAGGAAGAATTGAGGTACAAAGGTAATGGCTGTTGATACACGTGAGACTGATCTGTTTATATATATGTCCTATTTTTGTCTAAAATCTTGGATTTTTAAAACCATATTTGGTGTAGGGAAGAGAGAATATACGAAACAACAAAAGGAACAACAGTCTTAATAAGTTCATGAAACCAGTACTGTTGCAGATGGTATGAAGAAGAAAGTCTTGGGATATATAAAGTATAGATAATGGAATGTTGAATACACATTGTTTGTATGTTTGGTGGATAAACAAAGCTGTTGATAGGTTTTTTCATTGAAAATGCTCAAAAGTTTCTCGGAAGATATTGAAAAAAAAAAGTGTCGATGAACATTTGGCGAAACAAACCACCAAAAAATCTTTTCGATGATCGATAGGTTAATTTGTAACACTTTGTTGATTTGTTGTTCATCTGATCGTTCGACGATTGGGTGTGATGAATAGTAAACGCTGGGGGTAACGGAGTGGAATGGAACAGAAAGAGATGGTTGTTTGTGGATGAAATGGAAAGCGAAGGATTTGTTCGTTTTTCTGTTTTGCTTTTTTATTACAATACAAATCTTATTTGGTTGTTTTAATAGAACAATAAAAAAAGAAGAGAGAGGAAAAAAAAGAAAAATAAGAGGGTTGGTTTTTTTTTTTCTTTTATTTGCGCTTATAAAAAAAAGAAAAAAAGAACAAACTAACGGCAACACAGAGAAAATTGAAACTTTTTTTGTTTTTGAGTAGATTCAAGAACAACGCTTTCAACGTTGTTAAATTTTAAAAATACTTTTTTTTTTCTTATTCTATTTGGTAATTTTTGCCAAATATTTATTGATACTAAATAAGGAATTCTAATTTAATTATTGTTAAATATTTGTATGAAACTGATACTGTATCAAATAATTTACATTTGGTTTAGTGTACTTACTTTATGGCTAACTTTTTGAACCATTACTTTGCGTTTCTGTACTGATCTTTTTTGAGTTTCGAAACGTATTATATATATATATATATATATATATATATATATA